AGTTATTTTGATTAGCATTTATGGATATTACAATGTACATTGTGGTAAATAAATCTAAGGCAACCAAAGTGAGACTGGCATAATGTAAACACGAATATTAGCCTTGTTAGCATGTTTTATGATATCAAGTAGAGTTAGCTAACTTGCCCAACACTAATTAGCTTGAATCTCACAAATAAGGCTAAAAGGTTAAAAGAGTTGCACACTATTATGTACAAACTGATGTAAATATGTTTATTCCTTGTTCAGATGACAGTGAAACCTCCTACAGATTCAGCCCAGACTGCTGCTGCTGCTGTGAGAGGTCCTTCTCCTACGTCATCGCCGACATTTTGGCGCCCCCTAGCGTTTGTTAAAAGGTCCGACTTCAAAGCTGTTTTTTTACATAATTCATCTGAATATGTCAAAATGAACACCCGAATTATTATAAACACATATTGTAGTTATATATTCTGGATAGCAGCATATTAAATTCTAGTACTACTTTAAAGTCACTGACAGCTGGGAGTCTGGGAGCGATAGTTCTGAAGCTTTAGGGAAACTTCAGACTGGTAGACCACACAGGCACGTCACTGCACCAGGCCGGCCCCTTCCTTCCTCAGCCAATCACATCGCTCCGTCAACTCCCTGCCAGCCGCCAATCAAGCCCTTGTCCCCGCCTCCGCCATCCACACATAAACTACAAACAAACTTGCGTTCTATAAACACATCTTGTCCCCAGATCGACTCCTTGATGTCATGACTTGAAAGTGATTATAAAAGTTAAATTAAATAGTAAAATTATAAAGTTATTAAAGTGAGTATTATTATTAAAGGTCTTTACCAAAAGATGTATATTTCAGTTTCCAAGCTTCAAGTAGATTCAGCGACTCAAAAGGTCGTAGAAAACTGACAGCTCGCCGGAGGAAAACAGAGAGAGAGCGGCACCTTGTCCGGGCGGACGTCGAGCGCCTCGGTGAGTTTGACGGCGAAGTGCTTGGATCTCTCGAAGCCGCCCTTCCCCACGCTGTAGGAGCCGTCCAATAGGAACAGGAGGTCCAAGGCGCCGGAACATTTCATCACTTCACACAAAAGGAACATCCAGGTTCAGTCGCTGCGTTAAATCACATTATCACATCAACGACTGGGATTAACACGGACGGTTCAGCCAAAGACGTCACCGGGAGCAGGCCGGAAGGAAACGAGGAAAAGGAAGAAAATTAGAAAAACTGAGAAGTAAGTAAGTAAGTAAGTTTTTATTTATATACCGCCTTTTCACTGCAGATCTGAGTCTCAAAGCGGTTTACAATTGTTAATTTTGGGCATTTGTCTCTCACTCCACACAGAGATGGGAGGGGCCAGTACAGGAGGCGCATGCCAGAACTATTGGACATATTTTTAGTGGTAGGGGAAACCGGAGTACCCGGAGGAAACCTACGCAGACACGGGGAGAACATGCAAACTCCACTCAGAAAGGCCCTGGTCCGACCGGGATTCGAACCCAGGACCTTCTTGCTGAGAGGCGAGAGTGCTATCCACTCCGCCACCGTGCCGCCCTAGAACAATTACAAAAATTACACAAATTTAGAAAAAAATTGAGGAATTTAGTGAAAACTGAGAAAATGAAGAAATCTGGGGTTGACATTTGGCTGTGTTCTCTTTCACAGTTTTTTTCACAGCTCTCAGCTAATCAGCTCTTAGCCAATCAGCTCTTAGCCAATCAGCTCTCAGCCAATCAGCTCTCAGCCAATCAGCTCTCAGCCAATCAACAAACACATGTATAATAATATAGAAATAAAAATAGGTACCCCAGCTTTAAAAACAGTGAACACAGATCAGAAACAGATGCTCACTCTCTCCCGCTGCGTTGATCTTGTTGATGTTGTCGTGACTGGTTTGAATCTCCTGGACCAGAGTCACTCGTTCAACTACCACAAAATACATTATTATTATCATTATTCAAACAGGAAGTGTTTATCTCTCACACAGAACAAAACAAACAGGATTCATTCAGACGTTCAATTTGAAAAACACAGTTTGAAAAGGGCTTGTGCTCTACCCTACCCTACCCTACCCTACCCTACGCTACTCTACCCTACCCTACCCTACGCTACTCTACCCTACCCTACCCTACTCTACCCTACCCTACCCTACGCTACTCTACCCTACCCTACCCTACTCTACCCTACTCTACCCTTCCCTACCCTACCCTACGCTACTCTACCCTACCCTACCCTACTCTACCCTACCCTACCCTACCCTACTCTACCCTACCCTACCCTACTCTACCCTACCCTACCCTACCCTACGCTACGCTACTCTACCCTACCCTACCCTACCCTACTCTACCCTACTCTACCCTACCCTACTCTACCCTACCCTACCCTACCCTACTCTACCCTACCCTACCCTACGCTACTCTACCCTACCCTACCCTACTCTACCCTACCCTACCCTACTCTACCCTACCCTACTCTACTCTACCCTACTCTACCCTACCCTACTCTACTCTACTCTACCCTACCCTACCCTACCCCTCTACTCTACTCTACCCTACCCTACCCTACCCCTCTACTCTACTCTACCCCTTCTTCTCCTCCTCCTCTCCACAGAGAGTCTGGTTTTGCAGTTCAAAGTCTTAAAACGTTCACTAATAAATACTTGGAGGTTCTAAAGCTGTCATTTTTAAAAACAACCAGAGATGATTAGACCCAGGACTCCGGCCTCCGCCTCAGGGAGACACCAGGTCTGTGCTCCTCCATAAAACACTCACGGGACAGGAAGTTACCGCAGGCAAAGTATTCTGTTTATTATATCTTTGTTTAATTATTCTCTGTATTTTTATCAATAATTTATTTCATGTGTTATTTTTATTCTCTCTTCTTGTCTTTGTGTTCTGTTGGTTCTGTTGTGGTTCTACTTTGTTTTTCTTTTGTGTTTTGTTATGTTGAATGTTGATGTGCTTTTCTGTTTTAAAAAATAAAAATAAAAGTCTGGGTTAAAAATATGAAACGAGTGAAGAAAGAAGAGTGTTTTGAATACAGTGCCTTGCGAAAGTATTCGGCCCCCTTGAACCTTTCAACATTTTGCCACATTTCAGGCTTCAAACATCCATCCATCCATCCATTTTCTTCCCCTTAATCCATTTCTGGGTCGGGGGGGTGGCAGTCAGAGCTGCACCCAGTCCACAGAGCACCAGCCCCTCACTGATCCTCCTGCAGGTGGTGAGTCCACAGGAGCTGAGATCTCTCAGTGGGGGCTTCAGGCAAAGTGGGGTTAAGTGTCTTGCCCAAGGACACAACGACGGCAGTCATCAGCGGGAGTCGTGAAGCAGGTCCTACAGTGGGATCAAACCCACGACCTTCAGGCCCAAAGGCCAATGCTCTACCAACTGAGCCACTGTCGACCCACTGCTTCAAACATAAAGATATATAAAAAAAATTTTTTTTCAAGAATCAACAACAAGTGGGACACATTTGTGAAGTGGAACGAAATGTATTGGATAATTTAAACTTTTTTAACAAATAAAAAACTGAAAAGTGGGGCGTGCAATATTATTCGGCCCCTTGCGCTAATACTTTGTAGCGCCACCTTTTGCTGCAATTACAGCTGCAAGTCACTTGGGGTATGTCTCTATCAGTTTTGCACATCGAGAGACTGGAATTCTTGCCCATTCTTCCTTGCAAAACAGCTGGAGCTCAGTGAGGTTGGATGGAGAGCGTTTGTGAACAGCAGTCTTCAGCTCTTTCCACAGATTCTCGATTGGATTCAGGTCTGGACTTTGACTTGGCCATTCTAACACCTGGATACGTCTATTTGTGAACCATTCCATTGTAGATTTGGCTTTATGTTTTAGATCATTGTCCTGTTGGAAGATAAATCTCCGTCCCAGTCTCAGGTCTTTTGCAGACTCCAACAGGTTTTCTTCCAGAATGGTCCTGTATTTGGCTCCATCCATCTTCCCATCAATTTTAGCCATCTTCCCTGTCCCTGCTGAAGAAAAGCAGGCCCAAAGCATGATGCTGCCACCACCATGTTTGACAGTGGGGATGGTGTGTTCAGGGTGATGAGTTGTGTTGCTTTTACGCCAAACATATCGTTTTGCATTGTGGCCAAAAAGTTCCATTTTGGTTTCATTTGACCAGAGCACCTTCTTCCACATGTTTGGTGTGTCTCCCAGGTGGCTTGTGGCAAACTTTAAACAAGACTTTTTATGGATATCTTTGAGAAATGGCTTTCTTCTTGCCACTCTTCCATAAAGGCCAGATTTGTGCAGTGCACGACTGATTGTTGTCCTATGGACAGACTCTCCCACCTCAGCTGTAGTTATCTGCAGTTCATCCAGAGTGATCATGGGCCTCTTGGCTGCATCTCTGATCAGTCTTCTCCTTGTTTGAGATGAAAGTTTGGAGGGACGACCGGGTCTTGGTAGATTTGCAGTGGTCTGATTCTCCTTCCATTTCAATATAATTGCTTGCACAGTGCTCCTTGAGATGTTTAAAGCTTGGGAAATCTTTTTGTATCCAAATCCGGCTTTAAACTTCTCCACAACAGTATCTCGGACCTGCCTGGTGTGTTCCTTTGTCTTCATGGTTCTCTCTGCGCTTTAAACAGAACCCTGAGACTATCAAAGAGCAGGTGCATTTATACAGAGACTTGATTACACACAGGTGCATTCTATTTATCATCATCAGTCATTTAGGACAACATTGGATCATTCAAAGATCCTCACTGAACTTCTGGACTTAGTTTGCTGCACTGAAAGTAAAGGGGCCGAATAATATTGCATTATATTTTTATGTTTGAAGCCTAAAATATGGCAAAATGTTGAATGGTTCAAGGGAGCTGAATACTTTTGCAAGGCACTGTAAATGCTGTGTATAAAAACAGAGCAATGTCAGACCCTGCAGCAGCAGCAGCAGTGAGCAGAGCGGGAGGACGACCACAGACATGACCACACCTGGAGGAAAACACAGGAGTGAGAGCTCTGTCTGTTCACGGCATCATCATCATCATCATCG